TTTTTTGGAGAGGTTTTTGCTATAGGGTGTGTGCACTCTCCAGACAGACAGAGAGAGACAGAGAGACAGAAAGTGAGAAATCACCCCCCAGGGGGGATGGCCACACCACAATCCCTTCTCCTCCATTCTCCTCTCGGGATCTTGGGCACGCACGCACACGCGCCCAGCGTGAGTTTAGCCCACCGGGTCCAGGACGTGAACCGTGGTCGACTACGTGGGAGTCCAGCGACATAGCCATTACGCTAACTGCTGGTCCCGGCTGGGAAAATTGTTAACAAAAGACATTCCTAGGCCCTGGGCCCTGGGTTGGTCCCTGAATTCTCAGGGTGGTCCCTAAATCTGCATGTTAATCCCCTGAGGTGCTTCTAAACTCCGCTGAAGTTTGACAGTCACAGAGGGACTTCTACCCTAGCTGCCTCAGAAAAGGCTCAGGTATGCTGGGTTATGAATGCCCTGGGCCCTCGGGCCTCTCAGGCTCTGAGCAGGGATAATACTGTATGAATATTATGCTCTTTGGGTGCTGGAATGAAAAAGGTGGAGAGGTGCTGAGAGTCCACTCTATTGCGACTGGTTCAGCGTTATGGCTGATGCACTCATTACCAACCCACTCACATGTGCCTGGGTGCTGTATCTGGGCACGAGAAATCGCTATGTGGTCTGGTGCAGAGCTGGTGAGGAGCCTTCTCAGCACGTCCACAGCACCATGTCATGGTTAGTCCATTCTGCCTGGGTTTACTGCGCATTCCACGCCCACGGAGCCAGCTCGCCTATCTCCACAGCACTTCTTCTTTCTAACTGTACACTGCCCTCGTGTATTAGAGCTGAAATGTGGGCTCCAGGCGGACAGGCCACTTGGGAGCACTTTGTTCACTGGTGCACCCCGCGGGCCTAGAGCACTGCCTTGCCTGTAAATGTGGAGTGGAGGACTGAACTTCAAATGTGCTAGGCACTGCACTGTGCCCAGGAGGCACAGTGTGGGGTGGAGATGACCAAAGGGCTACTACCCCACAGAGAGGAAAGGGCCTTTGCAGGGTAAAGTACTCAGGTCTGCGAGGTGAAGCAAGCAGGGCCCAGCAGGGCCGGCTAAGCAGACCTTGCGTGGCGGGCACTGAAGGCACGGGGTAAAGGAGCAGGGAGGAAGCCCAAGGCCTGTGAGATCCTGCGATGGACATGGGGTTTCTTGGGAGCTGGCAACATTAAAAATAGAACTCACAGCTGTAGGGCCTTCCTAGTTGTGGAGGGAGGGTTTTTCGAGGGACTGAACTACTAAAATCCAGCCAAACAGCAGCTGCTCAGAGAGCCAGGGCAGAGGCCTGCTGTGCTAGACCCTGTGTCTGTCACGGGGAGTCCGAGCCTTCCATCAGTCTGAGCCAAGGGTGCAAAAGAAAGGAGCTCAGGGGACCAGCAGTTAGCATAATGGCTATGTCGCTGGACTTCCATGTAGCTGTCCACAGTTTGTGTCCCGGGCCCAGTGGCTTAAAACTCACGTCGGGCATGTGTGCGTGCGTGCCCAAGATCCTGAGAGGAAAATGGAGGAGAAGGGATTGCGGCATGGCAATCCCCCCGGGGGGTGATTTCTCGCTTTCTGTCTCTCTGTCTCTCTCTGTTTTTCTGGTGAGCGCACATGCCCTGTAGCGAAAACCTCTCCAAAAAAAAAAAGAAGAAAAGAGCTCAAGGGGAAGCTCACCAGGGCTTTCCTCGCCAGGGAAGCCCGGTGGGCAGGCCTGGGGACATGAGCTAGGGAGAGGGTGTCCATGGGCCAGTAGCCCGGCCGAGATGGCCCGGTAATACCGGGGCTGCAGGTCTCACTTGCACACCAAGGCCTGGGAGGTAACCCTTTGATTATTCTCGGAAGCGTCAGGTTAGAGTCCGTGTGGGTGTGACGAGTGTTTGCTAAGTGCCCACCAAGTGTGAGGTGTGACGTTGTACCGGACTCTTGGCTGCCACCAAAGCAAGTGGTGGAAACCAGCCCTGAGATGGGAGACCCAGGCGTCTGCCATCAAGGTCACAGGAAGCCCTGGAGCGTCCTTGGAGCCCTCTCTCTTAGATAGAAGCGGTCTTTCCTCTTCCTACCAGTCAGCGCTTCCCCTCTTTGGGAGAGCAGGGAGACCAGGAAGAGCTGGCAGAACTCCAGCCCCTGACCAGGAGCGCTGCCCAGCCGCATGGCACTCCACGCTCAGGACCTGCAGGCCTGCCCTCCGCGACCACGCCCTGTGCGAAGCCCCCGGCAGTTTCCCCAATGGCGGGCCAGTGTTAGGATGCAGAGCAGGTCCGTTCTGCACAGGTGGCCCTGACCCTACTCTCTCGGAGCTAGGAGCTAGCGGGGACAGTCAGCTCCAGGAGGGATGCACTCGCCACAGCTCCCCCTCAGGAGCTGCCTCCAGTGCTGGGCAGATGGCAGTGGGAGGCAAGGCTGGCTGGCGCCCAACCGTCTTCTTCAGACAAACTCTCTCCTCTCTGGTTCCTCACACCTCCTAAACAGTGGGAACATTTTCCCTGAGAAAAAAGTGCAGCTCTCCAGGCCATTAAACCCGTGAGCCTGCAGGTTGCCGGGCTCTCCGTCCTTGCCTCTGTGCCACATGCAAGCTGGTGGCTTCCTGCATCACTGAGGAGCTAGAATGACTGGACTTCAGACCCCGCGGTGGCCTGAGCCTCATACAGGAACTCACGCCTCCACCTCTCCCCTGTCATGCTACACGCCTGCCCCAGTCCCCTCCTCCACTCCGGGCTCATTCTCTTTGAGATTAGAGGTGAGGAATAGCAGGTTGAGGGGTCAGAGGGAGGCGAACAGATGAGAGGTGGCCCCCCCAAACCCAACCACGACCACTTGCTGGGTGAGCAACGTGGCCGGCCACTAGAGTGAGTCTTGCTGTCACGATGCAGTCTGAAAGGAAAGTGCCCCTCTCACCCCCTCCCGTGCTCACTCCTCTCATTCTGGGCCATCTGCTTTGGGGCGGGCAGGGTGGCACGCACCCACAGCCAGGCAGCTCTGAAGCAGGACAGTGCCTGGGGTGAAGAGATCGATGTCTTACATCAGCCGCAATGGAGTTAGCAAGAGGAGAAAGAATAAATAAAGTCATATTTTCAAAAATATGACCCAGATTGCTTATACTCTATTAGAGATGAAAAAAGGATCGGCCTTCTTAAACCATGACGCTAGGTGTTTCGTGGGAGCCTCGTGACTTGCCCCAGACAGGCACATGGAGACACTCAGGTGGCCACGGTCTGCAGC